CCAATGATATCTCTGTCAGTCGTAGCTCCCAATCTGCCAAGCTTAAGGACCGAAGTGCTGAGGAGAGAGTGCTGCTCCAGCACGCACACTTTAAGAAGCTGCTAGGGAATCTGCTGGATTTGGTAGATGAGGACACACTAGTTGTCCAGGTGCTTAGCAACCTGCCCATACCCGATGGTCCCTTCACCTTGGAGGAATATACCAGAAGGCCAAGTCGTATATCAAGACTGGGAAAAGCTGTGGTGAGGACAGGGTAACACTCGAGCTACTCAAGTATGTCTCACTAGACAACACAGTATTGGCTCTCATAAACAAAGGCTACAAGTCAGGGGAAATACCTGAGGAGTGGGTTACTCTCAACATCGTAAGAGTACCAAAGTCGGGAGACCTCTCAAAGCCTGAAACTACCAGGGGATCAGTCTGTCATCGCTTGTTGTGAAGACATACAACCGTATGATCTTGCATTGCATACGCCCTGTGCTTGATCAACTCCTGCGAGACTCGCAAAATGGCTCTCACCCGAAGCGATCCACAGGCAGATCTTTGCCCTGCGGTGAATACTGGAAGGAGGCAAAGAGAAGAACCTGTTGTGAGTCAAACCTTCATTGATTTCAAAAAGCATTCATCACTGTGCACCCAGACAAGCTCATCAAGATCTTTTGCGTGTACAGTGTCCCAGAGAAGCTGGTGATGGCAGTCTTGGCAGACTACAGCAAGACGTGGGCAAACATTGTCATCCCAGATGGTACCACAGACCTCTTCGAGATCCAGGCCAGAGTACTGCAGGGGGACACATTGGCGCCCTTCTTGTTGAAGCTCGTGCTAGACTATGTGCTGAGATGGGTAGTGGAGGGAAAGGAGGGAGTGGAGGGAAAGGAGGGAGTGCTGGGCTTCAAGCTCGGGCATAGGAGTCAGACAGTGCCGGCAGTGGTGATCACTGATCTGGACTTTGCTGATGACATCAGTCTCCTCTCCGACACGGCGGACCAAGCACAAGCATAGCTTGCAACTGTGGAGCTCCAGTGCTACCGAGTGGGGCTACAGCTTAACTGGAAGAAGCCCAAGGTGATGGCGTTCAACCATAGAGCTATATTAAATTACTAGAGCACTAACTTTGTGTACAAAGTAATGCCTGCTGGGCGCATCCATGTTTGTGCACAACCTATGGAGACCTAGAAATTTTGTACAGCTTTTGTACGGCTATTTGGATATCTGCGTTTGTATTCCATACCGGTGCGTTATCCAAGCCAATACGCCCAAAACCAAAACGCACGATCAGCAAATGAGCGTGTCATTTTGCTCTACGCAAACAGCGCAACGCGTGCGCGTATTCGCTGCAGATTCTTTTTGCCGTCACGTTTTTTTTAACAGTCAATGACGCGCTTAAGTTGTTTGCGTATGTTCTACTTGTGCGTTTCATGTAGAATACACTTTCAAAATTCAATCCATCTAATTTCATTATGTTCTGCAAACATGCACATGAATTCAAAATGTCTGCGCCCAGGACGGCTTCAAAGCGTCTCCGCGCGCAGAATGACAAGTTAGCGCTCTAGTAATTTATGCGTTCAACTCAGAGGACGGTACCATCAAGTCCCGACATGGCCTTCCTCTAGAGGTCGTTGAGGAGTTCAAATACCTTGGCGCCCTCATAGGTTCAACTGAGAACGAGATGAGAGTGACGAGAGCTTTAGCGTGGAAGGCCCTTCATGGTATGAGTTGAGCATGGAGAGCTGGTCTCATTGACGACATCAAGGGACTGTTTGTGGCTACAGTTGAGTCTGTATTTCTGTATGGAGCTGAGATGTGGACAATGACAGCCAAGCACGAGAGAGCGCTAGATGGCGTCTACACATGAATGCTATGGATGGCACTTAACGTCAGAAGACCGTGTGCCCAACATCCAGCCACATCCAGCGGTACAACATCCTGCAAAGAGTTTCTGCTAAGGTCAGGGAGCAGAGCATGAGGCTGGCAGGCCACTGTGTGCATCATCCAAAATAGCTGCGAGCCCGCTACAGGGCTTGAATTCAACGACGGCCACGACGGCCAGTGCCGTCGTTGCCTTCTTACTGGCCGAGGTGCCCACAAAAAATCCCTGTCTTCACGGCCAGTTTTGCCTTGCCCCATAATTACCTTGGCCGTCGTGCCCTTTTTGCAAAAACATCCATCAGCCTATTAAAACCACTACAATCCTTGATTCCAGTTTTTTTTCCACACATTGACAATGTATTTCGATGCCATGCCAGCCCGATCAGTTGTCTTAAATATCTCGCTGAATCAATCACACACGCGCAGTACGGCCGTGGCCGGCCGGCCAAACGCCGGCGATTCCCCACTGTACGATGTACATGTACACACACGTACGTACGTACGTACACTGACAACTGAATCTCCAGTTCCTGTATGTGCCGATACTTCAAGTAGCAACACCCCCGCCGCAAAAATATATATCTGTATTCGTACACACACATACCAGCAGGAGTACGTACGGCAGATCTTACGTGCAGTCAACTGACTTTCTTTTTCTCGGTGCTTGCATGCGCGGTACAGAACGCATTGATGTTCGTGTACGAGGCAAACGAGCTTGGGCCCGGGCATAGTCAAAACACGCGTGCACATGGCGTTCCGAATTCCGATTGTCAAAAGCGGACATTGTAAATGGCTATCGTGTATTAATTATGTGCCCGATTCCCTAAGAGAACAAAATCAACTTTTAATACACATTAAGAACATGCAGGTAGGTTAATATAGATAGAGGGAAGGGTTTCGAATTTTGAGGGGAATTTGGAGGGAAAACGACAACGAAAAAACGCAACACGAAAATAGAGATGGCGATCGCACGTCACCAACCATAAAACTGCTTACAAAAAACGTAATTTCTATCCCCAAAAAGTGTTCAAAATTACAAAACAGGTGCAATATAAGCTGAGAGAAGTCTGCTTTTGGTTGAAAAGGTTTTTGAATGATAAAAACACCTTTGGCTCAAATTTGATCGAAACTAAAGGGGGACCCTAAACTACATGATCACCGATATAAATTCGCATTTTTTTTAGCCGGCCTCTGTGCCCCTTCAGATATTAGTTTGGCCTTGGTGCCCTCCCAACTGGCCTTGGTGCCCTCTATAATTTTGCTCCATTCAAGGCCAAAGTGGCCTTGCCCTAAAAATTCCCAAATTCAAGGCCTGCCGCTAGTACTGTGGGAACCTGTCGGAGCTAGGAGAAGGGGCAGATGACTATGGTTCGTCAACCAGTTGAAGAGGGACACAGTCAGGGGTGTGATTGGACAAAAATGAAAAATCCACGAACTTCGGTTGACATGTATACATGTACATGTATTATTGTACATGTACATGTATAATTGTACATTTACTTGTATAGATGTACATGTATACATGTACATGCACGTATGTCCGTATATATGGCATGTACATTTTAAGAACTGTATTTCTGAAATGTTTGCAAATTTTGTCGCTTCAGTAAAGAAAACAAATGGGGGGAAAATGAGGAAAAAATGTCTGGTCATTTAATAATATAATCCATACGTGATTGATTCAATAATGTCTTTGTCGGTGTGTGATGTTATTACTTTCGCATGTTTGCAGAGAGAAAGAAACGATTCACAGAAAAAATATGAACGGTGCTTAAAAGTTACTAATTTTTACTAATCTTACTTTAAACTCCCAGGCTTCCAAAACATTTTTGAAATTTTGTGTTGGTGGTGGCTATTTTTCAAAGCACTACTGCAGCTCAAACTGATTTCCATCCACAGTGACACCTTATTACCAGTTCTTCCAACCATACTCTTAAATTCCTTGAGAAAATCTTGCTTTGCTGATGGGTCTCATCACGGCAATATTGACATGTGTTTGCTAATTGCTAGCTCACGATCATCACTGCACAGTACATGCAAAATACACACACATCCACACGCAATATACAAACACGAGGTGCAAATGGTTGCAAAAATATGGGTGGAAGCCGTGCACAGGACTGTGAGCTTGTAGTTTCGTTCAATTTGGATGAAATTGGGGCACTTAAAGTGCTCTATTTTGCAATGGAGTGTAGGCATCGTTTTTCAAAATGGCGATGGGCTTCAGGACTATTTTCAGGGGTGATCATCTTCGGATGGAAATTTCTCCTCAAAGTTATTAGTTGACCCCCCGAAAATTGAAAAGATAATGAAAGCTGATGAAATAAGCTTGGATTTGATGTGCGTCTCGAACACCTTGGATAGTTGTGAGTATTTTTCCCGAATTTTTGACTTGGGAGCATTTACCATTGGGGTCTATGGAAGTTTATTTACTGGTCTGTAACCAAATGGTGCAAGCCCACTGAAAATTATTCTTAGTCTGGTCCTCAAGTACTCCACTCTGCACACTGCATTGATGTCTTTCAGGTTCTTGACCGCACTGCATTAGACTTGTGTCACCAGTCCATCCATTATCGTAAATTAGGTCCTATATTTATCCCAGAAGTTTTCAGGCGATATTACGGAACAGAAAACGTTGCAAATCCGGAATCTGCATAAAATTCTGCAGACATTAGACTGAAATAAATGAGTGATTTCGCTGCGGTAAAAACGCATTTTGTACGGTTGTTAGCAACCCGAAAAACCGCAGCGACCGGATCGGTCAAAATGTGGCAATCTATTCTAGAAGCTCCCTTACTTTGTCACAATCTGAGGCATTCTGGAAAAATCAGACAGGAGTTAAGGCAGAGGTCAATTAAAGGTTTGGAGGGTATTAAGGAAGGTGAATAACATTTTTCTCAAAATACTGTTTTTAGCACTTTTCAACTTTTCCAAAAAAATTGAACTCTCAATACTGTGTATGAGAGTCCCAAACTTAACTCCCTAAGGGGGTGGCAAAATCGTATCAAAATTGGAGGAATCCTCCAATTTTACTACGGCCTGATATCATCCAAACGTTTGTGCTCACCTGTGCTTGTTGTTTCTGTCTTCTGAGGGCAGTGTTCAATCTGTCAGCCTCTTTAGCCGCGCTTTTAGTGTTTCATTCTCTTCAGCTTGTTTACTGTTATGCTCAGCTTGTAAAGTAGCTTTCAGCTGATGTTTCTCTGCTTCAGCTGCTGCAAGAGCTGCCTGTAATCCAGCTAATCTCTTTAGAAAGAAAAATAATAGCTTCCAGTCTCATAACAACATGATTTTGAATCTTTGTAAAGGAACTTATTTTTCTCTAATTCATGCTAGTGTGCAATTTGGTAAAATGTTGACATTTTCAAAGGTTTTGAAATTTGATTTCATATCTAATTTTGTTTGATATTGTCTGCGGATGCATTTGGATGCCTATGCCTATGCCAAAATGAATGGAACTACATGTAATAATATTATTATTTGTGCAACAATTGTCTAGATAGGTACGGAATAATGGATTAATTATGGAACAAGGCCAAAGTGGCCTTGCCCCAAAAATTACCAAATTCAAGACCAAAAGATGTAGACGAATTCATTAGTATGACATACTATGAGAAATCAGGTTAAAAGGCAGACAGTTGCAGTGCGACTGCGTAAGCTCAGGGCTGAGCTTAAAACGCAGTTGGACAAGAAACATGTAGAACTACTAGCTACGGCAGCAGAAAATTGCAAAACCGAAGAGCTCTTCAGGATAAAGCGTGACATGTGACTAACCAAACCTAAAATGCCAACCTGTGCCCACCAAAAGGCCTGTAATAGGAGAGCTACAGAATGAAGATGACCTTGGCATCAAAATTAAGTATAGGATCCGACAGGAGTAAAGCACCTTCGCTATGCAGATGCACGCATCCCCAGACGGCGCCATGAAGGTGTACGTAATCCTCTACAAAGATTAGCTGGTAATCTTCTGCACATCCAAAGATTGCCTACAAAAATTTGTCAGCACATTGAAGGCCACGTTCATGTGCTTTTGGGTGTTTATGCACGCGATAAAACTGAAATGATGTGCTTTGGGTTTGCCACTGTGGAATTGAACAAAGTGTCTTTAACAATGCTGAAGGATAAAAAAGTCGTTCAAATAACTTGGGCCACAAACAGCGACCTCAAAATTGACACAATAGAACAAAAATATTGGGAGCACCTGGGAAAGCTGGTCCTGTCTAAACACATATTTGTGGACGAGGAAGTCCTACTCTTTAACCGAGTCAGAATTCTCGAGTTGATGGTGCCAGCCAGGCAAACATATGCAATGCAGGCGCACCTACTGACAGCTAAAAGAAAATTCCCGAATCGACTCAATATGGACTTGATTCCTCAAAACAATGATTAAAGGCAGCTACACCCAACGGAATGACGACATTGACGATGCTGACTGAGACTGGGCTTTCAAGTTCAGTAATGCAAAGATCCTCTAGCTGACGCGCACAAGTAGTATAGCATCATTCTGCTAAAAGCACCTGCCGCCAGAATGATGAACTGCAAAAGATGCTATGCTTTGCTCAACCGCGTAGTGGTCAAGTGGCGCACTGGACACACCTAATTGAAAATGCCTAAGGCCAAACAAAACAAATGGTGTGTTTACGGTACGGCCAAAAAAAAAGTCTCCGGTTTCTGGTATGCGCGCGCGTCGATGTAGCCACGCGCGTCGGCAAAATGAAAAAGTTTTTTTTCAATGAAAGATGATGTCTCAAAACCGCCAAACTCACTGGTTTGACTGGAATCCTGCTGCTGCACAATTTTAACGTGTTTTTAGATGGGGTTATGATGACAATAAGCTTTATGTGGCCTCTCTGGACTCCCATATATTTGCACTAAGTTTAGTCGGGCACCATTTGCAGTCATCAGCCGACATTTGAAGCAAGCACTTTTTCGGCAAGCTCCATACCAGAAACCGGAGACTTTTTTTTTGGGCTTAACCCGACCGACCTGGAATTTTTTCGGCCAAATTGCCGACCTCAAACTTTTTATTGCCATTTTGAAGGTTGATATTGATCATTTTTAATGAACAAATTTCAAAAATGTCAAGTACTTTTAAGTATTTGCCACGAACATAGACCATTTTCCACAGTTGAAACTGACCATGATTTGACACAAACATACCTGTGTTAAACGTGCGAAAATCGCGACGATCTCAAAACTTGAATTCTCAAACAACATGAAGTACGATTATTTTTGCACAAACGCATCGGGGTGAACTCGTGCGCCTGGCCGACGGACGGCAGGGTTCTCCCCATGTACAAACGTGCGTACTGCGAATCGGCGCGACAAAAATGCCCATCACATTTTTCAGCTCCTGATACGCACAATATAATTATTATTCACGCCATTAAAATGCACAATATAATCGTTACATACGCCATTATTTCATCTTGACATGCAATACCTTGACAAAAATCCTGTTTTTCTGATGCATGTGGAATGTGTGATCAAAATGCACACGATGACGGGTTCTGTCGACTGCCAGCTGACAGGAATGCAGCGCATACAGCATGGTGCACTGGTTCCCTTCGCGTGCTAACGGAATCGATACTATAATGAAGGCCTGGAACTAGTGACAACTGCCTATACAAACGTCGTACTACGATGATGTTGTGCCGTCGGCCGAAGTTGGAGTCGTAAAAATACCAAACAAACATCGATGGAGAAAGAGAATTTCTGCGCATTAATTCACAGAATGTGATCTTTATTTTCTGTGTATGTGTTTTCCATTAAAATGACGAGATTGCAAAGCTCGAACTTGTGGCGTAACATCGTAGCGTGTTTCTGCAGTAGTGCAAGATTTTCGGCCACGTGGAATGGGCCGTACACAGTACAGTAATGCACACTGATACTGGGCCGTGAGCACGGCACGATGTACGGCCGGCCAGACTGAATGTCGGCGGCGCCAGCTGCCGTGATGTATGTTAAGCATATAGTGGAATCACCCACCTCAAAAAATATTTTTTATTAGGTGAGGCAAGTTTTAATCCGGGGAGAACCCTGGGACGGTATAGTACGAATTAATTTGGAATGAAATGTATCGATTGAGTATCTTGAATGCTTGAATAATGTTTTTATACAAAATTTTGCGAAAGAACATGCATGAGCCTGCAGAGGTGAAAAAAAAAATTACAAAATAAAATTATTTCCCTACATACCTACCTGGATTTTTTTCAGACCGTTACCGTAAACACACCATTTTTTTTGTTTGGCCTAGGTAAAATGCCCAAATCGAACCAATGCAGCTACGCAAGATTATGTTCAACAGCAAAGATTTCATTAAGTGGCTACTACAAAAATATGTCATGGCTCTCCAAGCTTGTAAAATGCACACGTGGGAAACCAAGACAACAACGATATATCTCTGAAAAGGCAGGTATTCAATCGGTGCATCTTTATAGCTGTCTATATCATATGAAGCCGAGACATGGACGACCACCAAACATCTAAAGAAAAAAAAACTAAGGGTGACAGAGAGGGCCATGGAAAGAATAATGATAGGAGTAGCAAAGAAGCACAGGGTGAGAAATGAGGATGTAAGAAAGGAATCAAGCGTGCAGGATATTATTAAAACCATGAAAATCAAAGAAGTGGAGGTGGGTAGGTCAC